GGTAAAATCTTCTCTATACTTTCAAACTGTCTTCAAAGACATTGAAGAATAAACCTCACCATTATGAACACAATATGTCTCTCTTTTACTCAACCAGCAAAGAATCAAGTCCTTACTATTTATTACATATACCTATACTATACACTACACATGATGTGGACTAGACACTATGCCAGGCACTGGGAATTGTGATGAAAAAGACAACCAAAGTCAGCCTGTGGGAGTGGGGCACAGACTATAGTCAATAACAGAAGTCATTTCAGATAACTAGAAATGCTGTAAAGAAAATGAAAAATGTTTGTTGGCTGTGACACTTTAAATGGACGTTAAATTTAACCCAAGACTTGAATGATAAGAAGAAACCAGCCACTGAAGAAGCATTCCAGGAACAGGGCACATCAACTACAGAGCCCCGAGTGGGGAGCCAGTTTCAGAGGTGCTGTGAGTCAGAGCCTATGAGAAGGACAAAGTAAGGATCCACTGTCACCTCCCTTGTTAGATACTTTACCTCAGTTAATATGGCCCAAGGTCAGATTAGTTTTTGGTGGCCACATCACCCTGTTGAGGTCTTTTTCCGTATTGAATTACATGTTCTCTGCCCAATATTTGCACTGATAATAGCTGGAACTTAAGTGTGGAAGGGTGATTTAGAAGAACATACCTGGAATTTCTTTTCATTTGACCCCAGCCCTAAAAACTTCAGTCAATCAATCTATCCATCTATCAAACACTTCTCAGCAGTAGAAGCATTTTCTTGTTCTCCAACCACCATAACACTGGTTCCTAATTCCACTTGGCTCTTTGTCTTCTTTGCCAGTCTGATAGATGTTTTGGACATGGCCAAAGTCAGGTCTTGGCAGGTTGCTACCATTTGGGGCCAGTGCCCATTTTGATTTTAGCCAAAGGAGCTCAGTAAAGACAGACAATTCTTGATTCTTTGAACCCTGTGTTCTTAGTGGTGGGCTTAAGGACAAGCAGCCTCTCCCAGACCAGCCATTAGTGTTCTCTGACCCCTCAGTTCCCCTTTCTGGGTTCCAGTTTTCCCATATTGAAATGTAGGGTTTGGGTCCAGGAATTTTAAGATCCTTTGAAACTTTATTGAAAAAAAAATATTTTATTACACCGTAAGAAATAAAAGTTTTCCCTGTAGCTTCTGAATAACCTGCAGATATTATGCTCTTATTGATTATTAACTTCCAAGTTAATAATGCAAAATACAGAGTTTACAATGAGAAGGCAACATTTTAGAATTAAATCAGATGCTGAAATCAAGAAGAACACAAATTTGAACTATGAAAAAATGACATATGTTGGGCACCAGAAGAAATGTGGTTCAGGGCAGTGAGCTTATTGATTGTCTGCTATCTTTCTAATGGAGTTAGCAGAATCTGAGATCAGTTTGTCTAAGTGAACTGATATAAGAACAACCTTCAAGCCATACTATTCTCTCCCTGGGGCAGCCCACCTGTAATCTGCAGGTTCTGCATGGCTGGAATGGACTACTGAAAACAGGGTGCCCTTGTATTTGTGCAGACCCAGGTTCAAGTTACTGTCATTCATTCATCCAATGCCTTCTTTCCTTCATCTGATAAATGTGAATGACACACTGAATATATATCCAGTGAATAAAATAGCCCAGGTCCCTGCTTCATGGAGCCTACAATCTAGTTGGGTATGGGCACAGACCAGGAATCAAGCAAATATGCTTCTGAGTACAAGCCAAAGTAAGTGCACTGGAGGAAAATTTGTTCTGATGGAAAATAGCTGTGCAATCCCAGGCTACTTAATTCACCTTAATGAGCCTCATCCAGTCATTACGTAGTAACCAGGATAATTGGTCAAGTGATGGGTACAGACCTTGGCATATATTATGTGCACAATAGATGTGTGTTGCAACTGCTGACAGTGAAGTTACCTTCCTGAAGGTCATTGACAAAAAGATGAATTTTCTTTCCCATGTTTCCATATTTCCTTTAATTCTTTATGTTTGTGTGCATGTCTTACAGTTCCAGGGAGGGTTTTGGGTCAGTGGAGAAAGTCGTGCTGCTCATGTTTCTCTCAGCGGTTATCCTGATGGCCATCCTGGGGAACCTGCTGGTGATGGTGGCTGTGTGCAGGGACAGGCAGCTCAGGTAAGCAGCTTGAGGGAATCTCTTGAGCAAATCTGGGTGGAGTTCTGGGCTCTCCCTGGAGAGCTGGGTCTGAATATTTCCACTATAATTTGTAATTATGAAGGAAAACATTCATGGAAATGGTCTTTGAAAAAAATGGAGGAGGGAAAAAGGGATTGCACATAATCCTACAACTTCAGTATATC